TTAGTAGCATCATGGGAAAATCTTTTCATTTTTTTTTTTTATTCTTCATTATTTTATTCATTGAATTTATTATATTTTCCCATATCTTATTTTAGCTTCAGATTGAATTTGAGCATCAAATCGAATAGAAAACATTTATAACAGGAAAGTAAGTAATGTGACATTAGTATGGCGTCTCTCATGAACTTTTTGAAACATATTTGCTTGAAAGTATATGTTAAGAAAACGTCAGAGAACTTTTGGTTTTATGTTATTCTTTGCCATAACCCTAAGTCATACTTTGTTTGAAGTGAAGGTTTATTTTTTTTTAAATTGTAAGCAAACCCTTTTTCTTATTTAAATGCAATTAATTTGATAAATAGTACTTTAATGTTACAAATGTCTTTTGATAAATTTTGGTGTTCAGATACGATCTGATGCTAAAATATGGTTTTGTTGTCATTAAATGGTTAAACATTTGCAGACTGTAGCTCATTCTATATTTCTTTGGCCTTGTGTGACATATCTTGAACATGTCCCAGCTTTGTGACCTTGTCAATTAAAGGATTTCTTTTCTTTAAATTGTTCTACTCTCCAGCAATGGTCTTTTGTTTGTCTCTTGCACTTAACAATTTTTTTCTCTCTGTTTCTGTCTACTTTTTTTTTTTTTTTTTTTTCATAATTCCAATTTTCTTTAAAATTTCTGTTTTCTTTTCCCTACACAATCAAAGAGTTTTATTAAAATTGTCTTGTGGGTAAAATGAAATAAAACCAATAAATGAAATAATAATAATGAATAAAAAAGAAAAAGAAAATTAATTTTCCCATGATGCAAATTATAAAAATCTGGAAAGAATAAAATCTTTCTCTTTCTCCTCTTGGCTTCAAGATGTGAATCACGTGCTAATAACATGTCCACTGATGGTTGAGCTTTTTCTACTTACTAACAACATTGTCAAGACGTGTTTTAGCTGCCTTTCTCATGAAGAAGGTTTGAGTTTGCCAACTCAGTGTGAAGATGGCTTGAGCTAAACCAGCTTTACCTGTTTGTATCCTTACTTCCTATGAATTATTTCTGAACTATAAAGAAAAACAGACATACTGAAGAGACTCTTTAACTCAGTTTCAATGCAGTCAACATAGAATAAATGTCCATAGCAGAAAAACAAGTTATTTGAGATCTGTCTATATTTCTGAGATGAGGTATTATATACACTATTTGGACTATTATTCTCATCTTTGTCACCATAATTATTACAACATTTTGGCTGTTGTACACTCTGGCCTTCTTTAGGTGGTTGGAATGTCGAACTGAACCCTTCAATTCGCTTCTAGTTCCACATGCCATGTCTAATGGATTTCAGTTATCAGTTATCTCCTGTTAATTTCACTCTGAAAGTTCTCCACTGCCTTAGCCGGGTATTGAACTCACACTATTTGGGTCCTGTCACTGGATCTAATTAACGCCTCTATCCACTGTGCCATGTGTCCTCGAGGACACATGGCACAGTGGATAGAGGCATTAGTTAGAGCCATTACAAAGAGTGTGAGTTCAATACCCAGTTAAGGCAGTGGAGAACATTCAGAGGGAAATTAACAGGAGGTAACTGATAACTGACATCCATTAAACATGACACGTGGAACTCTCCTGTTAATTCCCCTCTCCAAGTTATCCACTGCCTTAACTGGGTATTGAACCCACACTGTTGGGTCCTGTCACTGGATCTAACCAACACTTTTATCCACTCTGTCATGTGTCCTTGAATTTAGTTGGTGTGTACATATCCTGTACTGAGCTAACTGAGGGGGTATAAAATATGCATTTCACAAAAAAAAACACTGACTACCTGGATCCTGGCTTGAAGTGATTGGATGTCTAGCCACACTGATTAGCTGTGATACAATGAAATGGTCTGTCTGTCTGGATGACTATATATATCTGTCTATATTTCTGAGATGAGGTATTATGTACACTATTTACATTATTCGGACTATTGTTCTCATCTTTGTCGCCATATTTATTACAACGTTGTGGCCGTTGTATGCTCAAGCCTTCTTCATGTGGTTGGAATATTGGACTGAACCCTTTATTTCAGACAATAGTCCAAATAATGTAAATAGTGAACAAGTTCTTTGTATGCTTCTTCTATCTTAGTTTACACATTGAACATGCACCTTCACCAAAATATACACACAAAACCCACAACCTTGTTAACAACCACAGTCTCTTGTCTCATTTTTTTTTGCTTTATTCTAGAAAAATATCTTTCAGTTTTAACCTGGTTTGGTTTGGTTTGTTTTATGGCATATCAACCTCAATGGGTTATTTAATGCCAATGAGATTTTATTGCCAGTTTGGTTTGTTTTATAGCATATCAACCTCAATGGGTTATTTAATGCCGACGAGATTTTTATTGCTGGTTTGGTTTGTTTTATGGCATATCAACCTCAATGGGTTATTTAATGCCGACAAAATTTTTATTGCTGTTAATATGTTTTTCTTCAAAAATCTATTGCTGGGAATATTTTTTTTCAAAGAATGTATAGCTGTTTGTATTGCTAGTACTTTTTTTTTTTTTAAAGTATTGCTGATGATAATTTTTCCTTCAAAAATTATTGCTGGTAATTTTTTTTTTATGACAAAGTATTTCTGGTATTAAAACCTATTTTTACACAAGTTTGGGTGTCAACTATTTGCCCATAGCTAGGACCCTAACAAGTGCTACCACCCTGGGTCAGGGTGGACTTGGGAATGCCAGTGATTAAGAGGTTCCACACTCCTCAAAATATCCTGATCAGAGGCCTTGCTGTTAGATGTAGTTTATCATCTTACCCAGGATGCAGATGTAGTTTATCGTCATACCCAGGACAGCAGTTTTAACCTGAAATAACATCAACTTCAGTCGGATAGTCCTGGGGGGCTGAAAAAGAGGATAGAAAGAAAGGAAAATTAGCACTCAAGTATAAGAAAAAAGGACTCAAGTTTGCCACGTGTTATTACTTCTTTCCATTTAAGAGACTTGTATTATATCAAAAATCTCTCTTTATACAGGTTTCATTGAAAATGACTGACAAGGTACTTCTGTTAAGGGTTTTTTATTGTATTTTTCTTTTGTGAGAACAAGAGATTTTTTTCTTTTGAAAAGATTTTAAACAAATCATCTGTTAACAGCAGGCAACTTTACCAAGCAAGATGTTTGTCCTGACACTGTAGTCAACTTTGACTGCTAAACAATAGTGTTTTAATTAAAAATAGTCTCTTGTCTCCTTATTTCTTTTGCTTTATTCTAGAAAAAATACCTTTCAGTTTTAACATGGCTCGATATATACATATGTGGATATTTTGGTTGTGTGCATGTGGCAGTTGTTTTCACTTTTCAAAGATCTGAAATAAAATAAGAAATTTTACTTGTTCATAACTGTCCTTTCTGTCTTTACAAATGAAGAAGGAACTTGAAATGACAGGGATGTAGTTCAACTGACTTAGAAACTAAGCAGTGTATTAAAACAGAGGAAAATACATTTTAAAACACAGAAAAGTGTGACAAACTGTTATGTAATACTGTAAAACAGAGAATGCATCTTTTCGTGTGATTAATTCAGCCTAGACAGCAAGGTGATCCTAAGAGAACTAAAATTCATACCAGGAACTATGATGGTCAGCATTCTTAATACTTTGTATAACTTCCGAAAGATATCTTTCCTTATTCCACTGTGCTTTTGGATTGTGGTGTTATATTTTCTGTCATCTGTTAAAACACTTTCCAGAAAGTTAAATGTCTTGATTCTGATGTCTCCACTTCAAAGAACACATCTTTTGCTAATGACCATATATCCTGTTGTCTTACATGTGACAGTCCTTTCTTCCTGATTTCATTTACTGACTGGTCTAGGAGTTCTTGTATTTTCTTTTTGCATCTGTCATCATTACAGTGTCATTTGCTTATCTTATATTATTACAATTGTGTCTATGAGTAATAAATCCTAGTAGGATTTCTAGTTCTCTTAGGATCACCTTACTGTATAGGTTAATTAAATCTAGTGAGAAGATGCATTTGTCCTTGTCTCACACCTTTTCTATATTTGTGTACTTATTCGATTTGTTTTCTATCCGTATGTAAGTGGTTTGATTCCAGTAAATGCTGTGTATTATTTTAATATCTTTCCTAAATGAATTAAGTTTTCATAGCAATTCAAATATATTTTTGTGTTGTACATTATTTAATGTGACCAATATATATAATAAATCCATGAATTCTTCAGGAATATATATATATATATATATATATATATATATATATTATTTGATAATTAGTAGGGATAATTCCAAAGAGGATATATATATCCAGAGAGATCTCATTATAAGAACAGAGCAAATATAATAATGATGAAAATTATTATTATTGTAAAATTATTTGGTCTGAAGAGACGGGATTTGATTGATCCTGCAAAATAAATCATTACCATGGATTTCTAAAGTCTCCGCTTTCATTGTTATTATATATATATAAAGTTGTACAGTAGGACTCAGCGTACTTCCTGCTCTTCCCTACTACTTTGATAATGAACTATTCCTACTTATAAATATAGCAAGTAGCCACATTAGAGTAGGATTTGAGTAGTATTTGATTTACTCAAGTTTTTCCATTTTATGTATGAGTATTTAATAAACCTCTTCTTCTTTGCTTCCTCTACCTAGTCTTCTGTTATTTCAATACTCACTCTAACTACAGTCTTCTTAATTCTCGGCTATTCTGAACAAAGGAACATCACAACAATATGTATGTATTCCTAAAAAATAAATGGATTTATTTTAATCCAACAATTACTTCAAATGTTACTATAGTTGATACTTTTTATATGTAATAGATGCCCCATTTTTATTTATTTATTAAACAGTGTTTAATATGTGTTCCTCAGCATGCATAGAACCTGTTTACACCTTTATAGGGAAAACTAATGTTTGATCTGGCATACTTTCATAGTCAGCCATTTTTTTAATGCTTCATCTTTTGTTAGGCTTATGACCATATCATGTTGAAACACCATTACTCATCTGATCACTGAACTTAAGCAATGCTGAGCCTGGTCAGTACCTAGATAGGTGACCACTAGGGAATATCAGGTGCTGTAAGCTTGTATGTAAGTGTTGTGTAATAGATAAGAGCTCAGAATGAGAAATTGGAGAGCCAAGTTCTAATTCCAGTTGGGTTTGTTATATTCACTTATGTCCAAATAACCTTGGGAAAGATAGGAATCCACCTCTTCTCTTCCCAACTTTGGGTTAAATAGACTTTTATCAGAAAATTTTTATTATTTTCGAAATATTCTTACAATCCAAAAATATGTTTTGACTTTAAATAATCTCAAAATGATTGATTAGCCGTAAAAAGCAAATCAATTACAATCTTTCTTTACCAGCCCACAATAAATTTGAAATTTATTGAAAAGAGGGATTTATATTATTTAGTAACCCTCTACCTTGAGTTGCTCTTGGGCCTTGTATTGGGTGAACAATAGTGATAAGAAAAGAATTAGAAAGTGGAATTTGTATTATATATGAAAATATATTCCTGGTATAGAAATAGGGTGATGAGTAAAAGGCTTTGAGCATTGGAGTCCATGCCATTTGTACTTATTAGACCTGGGTATGATGATAAACAACATTTGGCAGCATGGCCTCTGATCAGAAGATTGAAGGTTTTGAGGAGTGTGGAAGCACCTCTTAATTGCTGTTGTTCCCAGGTCCACCTTGGCTCAGGCTTGTAGCACCTGTTAGGGTCCCAGCTATGAGTAAATAGTGAAACCCCCAAACAAAAACAAAGCCCAATGAAAGTATAAAAATACCAGCAATACATTTTTATATGAAAAAGGACAAAGAACGCATATTTACAGTAAAATGACCAACAATATATTTTAAAGCAAAATGATCAGCAATATATTTTAAAGCAAAATGATCAGCAATATATTTTAAAGCAAAATGATCAGCAATATATTTTATCTGTACTTGAAGGCATACAATTGCATTCAAAATATATTTAGTTGAAGCCATAAAATTGTTTAAATTATTTAGATTTTGTTATTAACATATAGAGGTTGATATGCCCTTAAATATAAGATATACTTTAAGATATACCAACTATATATTTTATAGTAGAATTACCAACAATACATTTTATTTGCAGTTGAAGCCATAAAAATGCTTTCAAAATATTTAGATTTCAGCATTAATTAATCCATAAAGGTGTTGATATGTTACTAAACAAAATCAGCTAAATCTTCTATTTATTACTTGTAGCTTTAATATTATTTGTCCAAAGATCAAAAATCCATCTTGGTTTTTCTATTTTATTATTAATGTCAGTAAATAGGAACTGAGTCAAAATTACACCACCACATAAAATATCTCTTTTTAATCAAAAGTCAACATTTTAAATGAGGAAGTATGGTTTTGGGGATTTTTTTTTTTTTTATCTTTAAATTAATTCTTCTCTCTTAAAAAAAAAAAAAAAACACAATTTAATAATTTCTCTCTTTTCTTTTGATCTCAAGACAAATGAAATATTATTGTATTTCTATTCCTTTCTCTATTTTATTTCTCACTCCTTTTTTTTTTCCAAAACTTTTCTTAGTTTCTTATACAATCTGTTTTTCCTCTCAATTTTCTTTTCTGTCTCCCTCTTTTTTTTACCCAGAATTCCACACTGTCAATTTTTTCAAACCCCTACCTATTCATCCTTCCCAGAACATCACATTTTTTTTTTTTTTTACTTTGTTTCTGACTGAAGCACGCAGTGCTCTTTTCCTTATTCTGTCTGAAGCTCTTTTCAACCTGAAACCGTTTCAGTTTATTCTTCCTTTCTTTCGTTCATTACTTCTTAAACTGTTCTCTTAACTCCCTTTCAGGCCGCCATTTTTTTTTTCACTTTCTCTCTCACATATTAGAGAAGCCCAGCAATTTCTCTATTTTCTCTCTTACCCACTCATTTGCATTACCTTCAATTCAGCTTGAATTTTAATTTCTTCCGCTTTCTTCTCCTGTAATCAGTGCTTTTCAACTCTTCCCCATCTTTCCACTTTCCTCTTCTATTTAGGCTCTTCCTTTCTTGTCATTTTTCAAAGTAGAGCCTCATTTCTTGGCTTGACTTTTAAAAGTGATGCTTGTGCAATGTTTCCATGAAGTCAATTCTATCAGCCGATGGTAAGTACCCAAAAAATTCATTACCAATCTCTTGTTTGCATAAACTTGCATTAACAATCATCATTTGACCCTTTGTTTTTATGACTTTTTTTGTAAAATAAATACAAAAGTGTTCAGATGAGGCCATTTTTACAAACAAAGACACATACACTTTTAATTTGTTTTCTACTGCACAGCATCAATATTTCAATTGCGTCATATTGCCTAAATGATAACTTATTCTATGTATTATGTCTATAGAGTGTCTGTTGATAAGTAAGAATCAATAAATTCGTAACCCGTTAGATGAAATTCTATCTGAATTTTTTACAGTATAATATTTGAGTTTATGAGATTAATGAAGAAGCAGTGGATTAAGTGCATTGACAAGAAAGGTGATGATGTGGAAAATATTTTTTGTTGTATTACAAGTATTTTTATCATTAGGCTACAGACATGTTGCTATTAGCTTATATATATATATATATATATATATAATTATCAGTGAACCATATATATATATATATATATATATATATATATATATATATAGGGTGTGATGGAAAAATTGTTTTCTAAATTTTGCAAAAATGAAACTAATGCTGACATCTCATTTTAACAGATATATTTACCAAAATTATACAAAAATATCTTGAAATACTAAAGAGTAAATTTAATCAACAAAATTGCCACTGGCTTCAACCACAGGCTCCAGAAACTTTGGAATCATCTACATCTCTTCTGGATGATCTCCTTGTTTAAGTTGGTGAATGCTGTCATAATCTTTACCTTCAGTTTTATCTTTAGTGTTACAAGGAGTTTTGTTGATCTCTGGCTCAACTGCACTCCACACATAATAATCAAGAGGTTGCAGCCTGGGAAGTTAGGTGACCAGATGTAAAGAAATTGTCTGACAGCCATGACTGGGTTTCCCTGCTTGTGTAGCATAGTGCATAGTCCACTTGCCAGACATCGGCTCTTCCATCAGCCACTCTCTTGATCTAGGGCAACACTACCTCCTCAAAGCCCTCGATGTAGGCCTCCAACAAATTTGGCAGTTTTTTCTTATTAGAACAATCAAAGTGAGTTTTCCAAATTCTCTGCACTGTCCTCAGATAGACATAGAAACACTATGAAATGAACGTATTGTAGCTTCAAGCAGTACAGCCTGCCATTTCCAAATTTCTGATGGGGTAAATTGCATCATGATCCTCTTTTTCTCGCAAAATGTGCCCAACTACCTTACTGTATTGTGCAGTCAACAAAATTCAAAACAAACAATGCTTATGCCTGAAATTAAAAATATAAAATATAGACAGTTTACCCATCGCACCCTATATATATATATATATATATATATATATATATATATATATATATATAATGAAATAGATAAAGTCCGACAATTATTTTAAGACATTTTTACGTTTACATTCTTTTTATAGATACAAATATTTAAGTAAATGCTCTGTTTATAATAAACAGTATTAAACAACATTTACCAGCCTGAATGTCAAATGGAAGTTCAAATATAGTAAATTCGACCTTGTTAACCGAACGCTCCTCCATGGCCAAATTGGTTAAAGGCACATCAAGCTAAATGACGGTTCCGTTTAGGATACAGGTTCGAATTCTGTCAGAGGACGAATATTTTCTGTGAGAATTTCTCAGACATTCAGGACGGTAAATGTTGTTCAATACTGTTTATTCTAAACAGAGGATTTACTTAAATATTTGTATCTATAAAAAGAATGTCTTAAAATATATATATATATATATATCAATCATTTCACCCCAAGCAAGGAAATGAAGCCACTGAGATGCAAGGGGTTACTGAGTGTTAGAGAATATGAAAAAAAAGTATTAAGGAGAGAGGGCAATAAAAGAACAAGAATTAAGAAGACAGAAGATAATAATTCACATTTAATTTAAATTTTTGAATATCAAAGTTGACTAAGAAAAAATAAGCCAGAAGAATGTTCAACAAGCGAGAAGTGCAATAGAGGAAACTGTTAGCGTAGAACTTATGATTACATCTAAGCATTTCAACTGTAAAATGAGACCTTGCTGACAACCTAGTACTGCACTTAAATTCATAAAGTCTAGCAAAAAGTTTCTCAGAACAGTTACCATGAAAGTAATTAAAAGGCACAGGGAAGCTATATTATATATATTATCCTATCATATATATATATATATATATATAGTGATTTTCCAAGCATAGCTTGGATGTGGCACAAGGCTAAAAGTAAGGGGCACCCAGTAAGGATCGAACTCACTACACATTCGTAATTGTTCTAGCGAGACAAGCTCGCTAACCATTACACCATGCCAAGGTGCCCCATTTATTTATATATATATATATATATATATATATATACACACACACACACACACACACGAGTTAACAATATATATTTTTATACATCAAGAATATGTATTGGGAAAATTGTATGACCGAGTAGGAAAAGTTTTCTTGTTATGTGTTTTGTCCTTCAGGACTTCATTGGACTAAATTTGTTATGTTGGTATGACTACACATGCACACAAACGAGGGATGCTAGGGATTTTAGACTTTTATTTTTTCATATCTTTGCTGAATTCATTTAAAGTCTTTTTTTTTTCTTCCCATCACTTTTGTTAGTAGGTATCCCACATTGTGATAACAGAAGATCTGCCAGGAAAGGTGAAATATTGTAAGAGTCTGGGCACAAATTTACTGTGGATGACCTCTCTATATTGTTGAGATGATGTAACTATTTACACTATTTACAATGTTCAGACTGTTGTCCTCATTTGTATTGTTACATTCTTGACATTTTGGTAGTTGTATTCTCTGTGTTTCTTCAGGTGATTTATGTTGGAATTTCAAACGAAACTCTTAACTTAGTCCACGGGGGTAGATTGTTCTACTTCCACATGCCAGGTCTTTTCTGGATATCTCAGCTTTTGTTA